AGAGACAAATTGTACTTGTCTGTTTTTGCCTATGTAGAGTTCTCTCTTTGCCAATGCACAAACTCAACTGGAAAAGCAATTACCGCTTATTAATCAAGCTGATTTTAGGGCCTATTAATTAAACCTGCATCAGTTTTTAAAATCCATTATATTGTTGAGTATGCTTTCAACAGACATCAGTAACTAGTAAAATACAAATTCTTTCTGTACTTTGTAGTTTAAATGGGAAAGCACACCAAGAAATGACTTTATTGGAGAAAGCTCATTAATTTCATCTCTGGTTCCACGCCACAGGACATGTCGTATGCTCTGGATGGAGTAGACACTTCATCAGCCACGACCGTCCTGGGCTCATTCCTTTCTCTGAGGACTGGAAGCTGAGATAAAGCAAATCTGACTTTGTCACACAGTTGACTATGAGCAGGGCGTGGTCTCTCCAAACTTCATTTTTCCCATTTATAAAATGGGGAAAATGATACTTAACTCACAAAACTTTTGTGTGTGTAATAGGCTTCACGTAGCACCTGGTACAGGGTGGGTATTCAGTGTTACTTTAGGGTCCAGCTGAGATAATAATTGTGCAACTTTGAAGAGTGATATAGTTTGCTTTACACGCTGCCTTCCAGCATTTCTACGACAGTGAAAGCATCACTGTTACTATTACAATTCTTATTGCTGACAGGGGCTTGGGAAAGCTGAATTACTTGATCAAAGCTGACATGAAGGAACCAGCAGAGCCAAGACCTAGGTCTTCTGACCGCAAGCCCTGTGTTCTGCTGCGTCACACCAATCCTCGCCCCCCAGGACACCCCTCCCACATGCTGCCTCCTCTCCTTAAGACAGTTCCAGTTCTCGACCCTCCATGCAGCCACTAATGGCTTCCACTGCTGTGTATTCTGACTCCTCTACTAAGGTAAGTTCCCTGAGGATTTGATGACGGCAACTATGGCCTGTTTCATTTATTTGGCTCCAAGTCCTCCCAGGCTACCAAACGTTCAGTAAATGTCTAATGAGTTCCATACTTCTGACCCCTCAAAGAACATCTGGGTTATGGAAAGCACACAGCTCTCCCCACATGAGAGGAAGACTATTAACTGTTCGGTAACATTTTTCAGTGTTTTGGCCGCGCTGTGCGGCATGTGGGATCTTGGTTCCCTGACCAGGGATGGAACCTGCACCCCTGCATTGCAAGTGTAGAGTCTTAACCACTGGACCGCCAGGGAAGTCCTGTTCAGTAATATTTCAGAAAAGTTGGAGCCCTAGTCTTTGCAGACTTAAAAAAGAAAACTTTCATAATGAAAATTGAATTCAGGGGGATCTTTATATAATTTTGGCCTTGGAATCGTTGACGCACCAACTCCACGTCTGCTCATTTAAACACTCTACTCTGATTCACGAGGTGAGGAAATGACTGGTCATGAAAGGACTTCAAGTTTAACTTACCTGTGAGAACTAGGTCATATTATAAGTCTTAAGAAAAAAATCGTATTTCCATATGGAGAGGACACTGATAATAATTAACATTTAATGTATGCTTATAAATTTGGTATGTGTTAAAAGGTTTACAAATACTGGGTTTTAAGTCAAGTTTAAGGTGCAATTGATATACAAATCACCAATTTGAACTGTATTTTGATGCATTTTGAAAAATGTATAATGTGTACACAGAATCACGATACAATCAAGATTCTACCAAATGCTCACTTTTATTGCTGAATATTTTACTTCACTGAATTTATCTTGTTTTTGTTGTTTAGTCGCTAAGTCGTGTCTGACTCTTTGTGACCTCATGGACTGCAGCACAGCGCTTCCCATCCTTCACTATCTCCTGGAGTTTACTCAAATTCATGTCTGTTGAGTTGGTGATGTTACCTAACCATTTTATCCCCTGCCAACCTGTTCTCCTCCTGCCCTCAATCTTTCCCAGCATCAGGGTCTTTTCCAATGAGTCAGTTCTTTGCATGAGGTGGCCAAAGTATTAGAGCTTCAGCATCAGTCCTTCCAACGAATATTCAGGGTTGATTTCCTTTAGGATTGGCTGTTTTTTTCTCCTTGGTGTCCAAGGGACTCTCAAGAGTTCTCCAGCACTACAATTCAAAAGCATCAATTCTTCTGTACTCAGCCTTCTTTATGGTCCAACTCTCACATCCATACACAACTACTGGCAAAACCACAGCTTTCACTGTGGACCTTTACCAGCAAAGTGATCTCTTTGTTTTTGAAAACACTGTCTAGGTCAGTTTTCCTTCCAAGGAGCAAGTGTCTTTTAATTTCATGGCTGCAGTCACTGTATGCAGTGATTTTGGAGCCCAAGAAAATAAAATTTGTCACTGTTTACACTTTTCCCCCATTTATTTATCTATTCCTCTATTAACAGACATCTATTTGTGGGCTATAATATAAAGGTGTTTTGAACATGTATCTACAGGCTACTGTGTGGACATGCTTTGATTTCTGTTGGTTAAATAACTAAAGTGCGACTCCAAGGTCATATTGTAAGTATACGTTTAACTTTATAAGGAACCATTGAATTGTTTTCTAAAGTGACTGTTCTAGTTTATATTCCCACCAGTAATGTATGAGAATTCCAGTTGTTTTTTATCCCTGCCAACACTAGGTTTGTTGGTCTTTCTTTTTTTCCCCTTCTATTTATTTTTTTATTAAGGAAAAATTTATAACTACTAAGATTCACCTGCTCAGTTCTGCAGGTTTTCACGTTCACTTGTGCTGCAGAAATCAGGACACAGAACAGTTTCATCACCCAAAGAAACCCCCACATGTCCTTTTGTGGTCAACCCCGATCTTGCCTGGTGGTCCAGTGGTTAAGACTCGCGCTTCCAAGGCAGAGACCGTGGGTTCAATCCCTGGTTGGGTAACTGAGATCCCACAGGTGGCAGCCAAAAGTTGGAAGAAAAAACCCCCCCAAAACAAACCCCTTTCTCACTCTTGCTCCTGGCGACCACAGTTTTGTTTTCTGACCTCGTGCTTCTGCCTCTTCCAGTATGTCATACAGGTGGGCTCATGGGCATTCAATCAAAAGACTGTACACTTCAATTTTACACAGTGGGTGTGCTGATTATACTTCTATTGAAAAAAAAAAAAAGCTGTCTTTGTAGAGTTTATGTTTGAGGAGTAGAAAAAGCATGACACAAGTATGTGTTGGTGAGGGTCTAAGTGCGATGCAGGAAAACAAAGCCACGCCAAGGGGTCGGGATGCTGGCTGATGGAGAAGGCAGGGACAGGCTAAGTTTTATACAGAGAGCAAGTGGGCAGTGGGGGGAGAGGGGAGCCTCTGATAAGGTACAATTCGAGCTGACCTCAGAGAGGTGAGGGAGAAAGCCAAGAAGCTGGGGAAAGACAGATGCAGTGGAACAGAAAGTGTCAAAGTCTCGAGATGACACCCGTGAGGCAGGCTCCAGGGACAGCCAGAACCACAGTGGAGCTGGAGGCGGGTGATGGGGCAGGGGACACGCGGGAGGACATGCGGGGCCTGGTGGGGACAGTTAGGGGTCTGGCCGTCTGGAGGGGGTGAGCAGAGAAGACCGGGGGTGCAAGGAAGGGGAGGAGGTGTCGGCTGGGAGTCCCTGCAGGAAAAGTCGCATGTGGGGTGGACAGGGCTCACAAGCGGGCGTGCGTGTGTGTGAAGATGTGCCAAGGCTGCCGTGTGGCCCAGACAACTGGGCGGGAGGATCCCGGTCAGGCGGAGGTGCAGGCGGGTCAGTGGAGGTGGGAGTCTGCACTTGGATGTGCTCAGTCCAGAGGGAACCTAGTAACAGCTCAGATGTGCCAGTGAGGTCTAGGGTGGACATCTGGGCATTGCAGCCAGGGAGCAAGTGTGAAGAGGGGAGGCCTGGGATGGAGGGGGAAAGGACAGAAAACGGCTATGTGTCAGAGGTGCTGTACAGAGACATGGGGCCAGGGGGCCAGCCAGAGAACTGCGGCGGGCATGTGCATCACCTGTCACAGACGCAACCAAGTACAAAAACCTGCAGCCTGGGGAGGGCACCGGCAGGCCTGGGCAGCACCACCCGGAGAACCGAGGCTGATAAAGGAATGAAGGCATCCGAGACCCGTGCCCACGGAGTTTCCAGCACCCAGAAAGGAACTTGTTGCCGTGGGTTTGGCTTTTTGAAGTTCATGCAGGAGGAAAAGACAGTGGGCAGCCTTCTGTCCGAGTCACTTAGCCGCTACATTCGCCCAGGCTTTAGAGCAGTCTGGGGGCATTCTTCTTCCTGGGCAACCCTCAACAAGGGCATCAGAGCCAACTGGGGACCTGGTTAAAATCAAAGACTCTATGTTCCACCCAAGCCTACCGAATCAACCTCAGGTACCAGCCCTAAGACAGAAAGCTCTCGACGATTCTTGTGTGCATGAGTTTGAAAAGCATGGCACTGAAGGCGGGGAGAAAAAAACAGAAGACAATCAGAGAGGAAGGGAAATTCAGGTAAAAGGTCTATGGAGCTGACCCAGAGGTGGGGGCCCTGTTCTCAGATCTGTCCCTTGTGTGAGTGAAGAACTAACACGGAAACACAAACTTAGCTTCCAAAGATTATCCTTCCCGTGAGGGTCAGGCCACTCAGGATCCCTCAGTTCTTAAAATGTTCTAGAATGTATTTCAATGCATTGAGTTTTAAAGAAGAGAATATGTTAGTTTATTAATTTTCTGTATTTTGTGAAGGAGGTACTCCCTCTCAAATAATTATTTGGGATAAAACAAAATGGGCTCAGCATAACACAGATTTTGGCATTATTCTAGAAAGGGAAGGCTCATGATAATGTCTTTCAGTTAGAAAAGTGTCTTTCTCATCTTTATTATTGCACTAAGTGTAAAAGAGAAATGAATTTGTATCTAAACCTTAGGCCACCACTTCATTGTGGAGGCAGAAGATACAGATGCTATCAATGAAAACACCTGAAAAGGTTTCCTTGGAGGCCACTTGTTAGGGCACATTTTTAAAATAAAACACCTGTGTGTACATAAAAATACAGCTGACTCCATATTTTGATTTATGAAAAATAAATTTATTACATAACACCTTGTTTTTAACAATGTTCAATTTTTTTAAATTCAGAATACTTGTGTCATTCATGTAAAATAGTTTGATACAGTACATTGTATGTTATAGGTTTTCTTTTTTCCTCAAAAATTCTAAGGCTCTCCTACTCCTTCTCCTTTGCTGAAGTAAGGGCACCCTAAACAACGTGCGAACAAGTTTTAAAAAAAGAGAATGAACTGAACAAAATTTTAGTAGCACTACACCAACCAGCTTTAAAATCAGGACAAAATATCTGAATCGGATGCCGCACCTTTTTAAGGAAGTTATCATTCATGCTTTTTTCATCTTAAAGCATGCTCACAAATCAGCAACACCAACAGGAAAAATAAAACACTGTCTATGACAATCATTTTAGTTTGTTTGCTGAACCAAACAGGTTTATATCAATGACAACATATTTAATTACTATCAATAGCAGCTTTAATACCAGTCAAGTCATAGATTGAAAATAAAAACAAACTCAAAAGTTGGAAATTAATCTTTGGGAGTTTTGAAACTTTCCTGGAAAAACTATGTGGCTTCTTGTACTTTCCAAAACAATCCAAGCAATATTCTTGGTCAAAGAACACTGATTAATGTAGAAAATAATCAACCCACTGATAAGACATTGAAATGAAAGGTGTACCGAAATAATCTCACGTTGAGTCTTGGTTACTTCGTTGAGTTAATGTATACTGCGTGTTTCAAGTACCAGTTAAACTTCTCTGTGTGTGTGTGTACTATTGGTCAGATAATGTTGTTACACTGGAAGAATTCACCACATATGACGACAAATGCTTGCCCCTAGCACGTTTCACAGCTTCAACTGCTACAGACTGTCACTGAAAAAAAAACATTGGTCAGTCTGAACCATGTCAAGTAAACTATGGAAGTAGCAAACCCACAACACAAACTGTGCTAGCACTTTCCTCTCAAGCCTAACTCCAGACAGCAACAATGTGGAAGCCACTACCCCAATCTGTGAAAAGCGGTGGAACTCGGCTACTGGACATCTGACTACGTGGCTGCACAGTACATTCTCATGGCCCATCCCAGGCTCCCTCTGAGAGCTGCAGGCGGCCTGCGGCACAGCGGCAGTGCATGGGCAGTGTCCGACGCAGCTCAGTACCGATGTGTCTGGTGGGAGTACTGTGGAGGCTGCTGGGAGGTAGTTGAGTACCCCATGCTGCTCTGCGGCTGTGATGTGCTTGGTCCGGGGTTGGGGTAGGCAGCATGCGGATTGGAACGCTGGAAAAGCAGAAGAGGAGGAGACATGACTCGGTGTTGCTGTGGGCTGGCTGCACCCCAGGCCAGCAAGGCTTCTGTGTGTTTGAAATGTCACTTACTTTATGGCAGTATTGTCACTTATTTTACGGCAGTAAGAACTTTAAAGGTCCTGTGCTAGGTACTGGCTTTGGAATTAAAATGACAAAACCCTTAAAATCTTTTAGGGTTAGCCTTTCTTTATGAAGGTCAGAAGTACTGCTGATAAAATAACACTAAAGTGAGTCTTACTCCTGTGCTGCGTGGTTCATTCTATTAATAGGAACGCCCTTTCATGCTATTTCGTATCTACCTGATAAATAATTTGTCTGGGACACTTACTCTTGAACTCAGTGATGTATACAAAGAAGAAATTCAAAGCTAATCTACATACTTGTTTCTTCAATAGAAAACTCTCAACACCCATGCATGACTGAAGAATAAAAAATGAACATGACAAGAAAGGAAACCAGAGAATTACTTCTTCAGCATTAGATATCTTTATGCCCTACAAATTAGTGAACCTTGTTTTTCAGCCACAAGCGATATACGAAGGCAAAGCTATAGCTACTGAAACACAGGAAGAGTGGTATTCTCAATGCTAGAGGCAGCAGAAGAGGCAGCGTTCAAACACCTCTAGTTCCAATAGGTTATATTCTCAGCCCTGCACGCCTCTCTCATGCTATTGGCTCCCCAAAACAAACACTACAGAAGATTAACTATAATTTAATACTTTCCTCTTTCAGAGATATCTAATAAACCATATAACTCGAAATTCTGCCAACCCTAGCAAAAACAACATTTTAAAGAGAGTGGACATGTAAAACTAGTCAGAAATACTAGTTTTGAAATCACTCATAAAAACCACCACAGTAATGTCAACAAACAGACACACAGGAGCATTTCCTTGGTTTCAGTGGCAAAGGTTAGAGATCCCCCCACCCCACTCCCCGCTTCCTGCTCAGGATGCGCACCTTGTGTGCAAACACACCCGTGTGCCGGAGATGCGCTCGTCTCCCAGGTGGGGAGGGGAGCAGCAACTATGAGCTCGCAAGATGCCTGCCTTGGAGACCCCTGCTCACTGAGCTCACTGCAGGAAAGTCACCACTCAACCCCAGGGCTTGCTAGGCTGCACCCCCCATGAACCATGTGAAGAGCTCTGATCTAATTCCTGACGTGCAGCCGCAGCTCTGGGAGCCTTATCCATTTATTACAATCTCTTTCAGTAGGTAAATAATTCTCATGGGTCAAGTTTTCAGTACACTTCCACACTGAATCCAGACCAGATGGGAACAAGATCAGAACAAGGAATAGTTTTCAAAAACGGGTCTGTCTGCTGTTGTCACTGCAGAGAACGCACAGGGAGCCTCCTAGCAGGTCTGAGTCTGCGTCCTGAGTCCACCCCGGCCCGAGGCGTGAGCGAGGGAAGGGGCTCGACCTCCGCGAGCCCCGATTTCCTGCCAGTAACGCTTACCTCACAGCTACCATACTGCTTGGAGGAAGGAAGGTCTGTCCCACACGGACAGAGGAGCTGCACACCTAAGTCTCGACAAGCTCTTCCTATGACCGCGTCACCCCCTCAGCACCACCACCAACACTTAGCAAGTACTCACCGCGCACTGTGAACACTACTAAGAGTTTTAAGGACGATAATAATAATGAACACAGTGACTGGTGTCATCTATCCAACGACTGTTGGTCTAGCCGGCCACTGCCGTTAGCTCACACTGTCTCATCTCATCCTGACTACAGCCTCACACTGACCATCACCCACACCCGACAAATGAAGACACTGAGAAGATCTGAACCACCCCCCTGAGGCTGGATGGGGTTGCAGAAACGAGACCCACCACTTCCTGAGCACCCCCATGAGCCAGATGCTGAGGGTCACCACAGCCGCCCCCACAGCAGCGGCAGGATTGGTGCGCCCGGCTCATGATACAGACGAGAAACTAAAGCCGTGTCCAGGGTCAAAGAGCCAACCAACGGCACAATTTAGGTCCAATCACCCCACGTCTGGCTAAGCCCCCTCTACTGTACCACCGGGTACCTTCCACGCCCATAGCTCTTTCTGTCGATGTGTTGCCACACACGGGCGGGTCTTTTCTTAGCTACGGCGCATTTCCCAGTGCTCACAAGCCCACAGGCAGTACTGACAGGCAGGTTACTGCGAGACAGCCTGAGTACCTGATAGTCTGAGGTCATGATCAGTCCACCTGAGGTAGTGGTAGGAGGGACGACTCTCACTTTCTTCAACGGGGGTCCCTGGGTGTGACTGCTGTCTTGGTTCCCTGGGTGGCCGGTCCCATTCGTGTGGTTATTGCCCGGCTGCTGCTGCTGGTTCTTCTCAATTGGTTAAACAGAAAGACACAGCTCAACTCAGAGGGAGAACCAAAGATGCCCATGCCAGAAGTCATGGGGGCACTGAACAAAGCCAGATGCCAACTATACTTTAATACTTACTTTGTCTCCTTTGTCATCAGGTTCTTCTTCTGTTAAAAATTCTCGTTTTGGGTAAGGGATCTGACAACCGGCAAAAACACTGATCATAAGAAAAAAGAAAAAGAAAAAGGATTTCCGGTATACTAACCAGTATTTCAAATGCTGTATGTAAGTGGCTTCTTGCTTTCATCTTTTAGTCTGGACTCTACCCCTCTATCTGTGATGTAATAAGCATCTTTCATGCAACTGTGACACAGCAAGTCCCTTCTTCTAACCACTGCCATGACAGCAGGCCACTGGAGAGCTGCTCACTGTATAAATAATCAACACTACTCCGATAGGACTCTGCTTTCTTCTTTGATCCCAGTGGTCCTTTTTTATCATCACAAACAAGAGACAGATTCTGGCAGGAATGTGATTAGTCAAACAAAACTTTCTTACTCTCCATGCTACATTTAAAAGGAAAGAAAGAATGGAAACACAAATGTCCTTGGGGATGGAGTTTGCAACTGTAACTGCAAGCAGTGAGGCAGACAGTGTGTGGAACCAACCTGTCACTAACCAAATGACAGAGGCAAATGATGCCAGCACTGTGCCAGCTGTAAAACCCGAGGACACTTCAGTCATCAGAGCTCACTTTCTGCCTCTCATAAGGATTCCCCTGGGTCCCCATATAAGAGCGATGGTGACTTGAGCTGACAACTAGAGGAAAGCAGGCACCAAAACCATCTATGGAGCTGGTGAGTGAACAAACTGATCACTTACTCTGATGTAGGAAGCGGGTCTTCTAGGAAATAGGGGTCCTGCATAGCCTGCTCTGAGGTAATTCGCTTTATTGGGTCCATGGTAAGCAACTTCTGAAGCTGAAACCACAAGTCATAAACACATCACTGTTTTACTTCTCATAGTCACACCTGTGGCACATTTGTGGGAGGCATTTTTTTATATTAATAATACCTCGAGGGAGAGCATTTATTGCCCCAAATTAACTCCCCCCTCCATGTTCCCCAATTATTCCATGTAATGTAATAATTCACATTTTAGTCATTCTAATATTCATTATCTCAGTTGGTTCTCCTATAGGAAGTAAACTCATGTCTTCTTACTCTAAACCAACGATCTTTTCCCTACATTATCTAAATTGCTATATCCAATTTAGAACAGGACTAAAATTCTTCAAGTTATTATTTTTCTATTAAAGGGAAAACTTATAATATAAATACACTAGCCACATGTGGCTATTTAGATTTAAATCCAAATGAATCGAAACTAAAGTAAACTTTAAAAGTCAATTGCTCAGTCATATCAGGTCCATTTCTAGAGCGTGGCAGCCGCACATGGCTCAGGCCTGCCCTGCTGGACAGCGTTCTGCTGACAGTGCGCACCAGCCTACAGACAGATGTGGGGCCTGGCACAGAACCAGAGTACACGGGCGTGCTGGTGAGTGGAGACGCCAAGGAGGCTGCATGGCTTCAAATCCTGACCTTACATTTATTAGCTGAGTGACTTTGAAACAAGTTACTTAACCACTTTGTAACCCTGTTTGTCAAAGGGGGGTTAAAAACAGTACCTTTTATCGTTAAGTTTATTTTCAGAATTAAATGAGTTAATATGTAGAAAGCAATTATAATGGTGTTGGGCACAAAGAAAGCACTATATAAGTCTTAGCCATTACTATCATCATCATCATAACTAATATTACTTACAGAAATGTCACACTAATGTGTGAAAATTCAGTAGCTTCTGGTTGAAATATAATTTACTGAAGGCTCTATGAAGTAGAACATTTGAGGTAACATGTTATTTAAGATAGTATCTAAACGGTGGTCTCTTGGCTTATAATCTCTGACCTAACGCCATGATTTCCAGGCTTCAGAGCACTCCTGAATCAGCCCGGGAGCACTTCCTAACAGCCCCAGATGACTCTGGTTCTGCTGGACTAGGACATGTTCTGAAAACCATGGAACATGTGGAGACGGTGGGAGATGATACAATCAAGAACAAAAGGACAGAAGATATGTTTAAATGCAGATGAAATGCTGAGATGGTGAGAGTTTAATTTCAATGAGCTGATATTTCAGTAGAAGCACAATTTTATTTTGAAACTGAAAGGAAAAGCATGGGTTTGCCACTTAAAACACTCATCAACAGGTTTAATGAAATTACATTAGAGCTTTCGGATGGGACTATGCAAGACAGTTACTCTAGTAAAAACAAGCAGGTGAGTGGAAAAGAAAGTTGGTCTCTGGAGTGTCAGTGGTGGGGGTGGTGAGAGACCTCAGACTAGCCTGAATAGCAGTGAGCAGGGCGGGTGGTAAGGCAATCCCCCTACAGTGGGACTCTTGCTCTACCACTGTCACCAGCATTTTGTTAGAATAAATAAGGCCGTAACTTTGAAGGATCTAACTTACCTTCCAATTTGGGTACTATCTTAAGTATATTATAGGAAGCCATGATTTGGATAATAATACAAATGTGTGGTAATATGGTCAGTTGAGCACAGTCTTTTAAGTTGCTGATTAGATATGAAATGTATGATACAGGACATGATAAAACATTACTGCAGAAGCAGAAGAGTAGAAGAATAAAGAGCAGAAATGGAAAAAATATTTGCCAAGTGGCCTGGTACTAAAGGAAATTTTAATCCTTTCAAAGTAGAAAACTTCCCGTTTAATGAACTTACTTAAAAAATACTGGGAAAAAAGGATTAAAAGAATTTTAAGCCAAGCAAAATACAACATGCTTCCCCCAATCCTCCTTTATATTACTTTCTTTTGAAAAACATAAAACTGAAAAACATTTTTAATTGCTATAATATAAAAATGGAGATTTCATTGTAAACAAATTTGACAACAGTTGACTATAATGTCACAAGTCACCTTGATAGTGCACAGTTAGATCCTAGGTCAAATCATTTTTCCACTATGCACTATCTACATACTGCATCTCTCATACTCTTCCAGAAAAAGCACACTTTGCACAGCATCCCTGATGGACCTTTAATAGCTAAGTTTATAAGCGGCACCTTGGGAATTAAAATTCTGTAAACAACCTTTCAAAGGACTGAAATAAAAAATAATCTCTAAACCTTATTTCTGAACAGTAAGACTGTTTCATTTTGATTCTTTGAAATTTTAAAATAACTGGTGAAAACCAATAAACAGAATTAAAAAAAAGTGACAAACTTGGTTCAATGACTGTCTTTAGAAAATTAAGTGTAATCAAACATTAAGGCTGTCAAACCTGGGTTTTGATATCATTACTAGTACACACCAACAAGAACTCTCCATTAGTATTACTATTAAAGAACTCTAAGAATACTGAGTAACCAGAGAAATTGAGTCAAAAAAGTCAGGTTGGGTTAAACAGGTGGGAAAAATACAGTTCATTAGTACTGTTCTCTAAAACTTACCAAGTGGAATGCTTTACTATCTGGTTTAACTTTATGTTTTTCCATATACTTGATAAGGCTGCAGTTGGTATACCTGAAAGAGAAACACTATGAAATATCTATATTAGATTTGAGATTAATTTTACATTGGGTAAAATTTTCTGAACAGAATTATTTTAATCATAACCAACACAGAACATACACTGAAAATGGTATTAAATCAATTTCACACTTCATTCAGGACTCCCAGGAGTCACTTTTAAGTGGATACCACTGATTAAATGCAAGAAAATTTCATGAATAACATTCAGACTGCTTAGCTTTTGTTCACATGAATGCTATCTCAACAATGATCTTAAATAACATATGGGTCAAGAGCTGAACTCAGCCTTACTAGTAAGCTTAATACAAATTTTTAAAACACTGTCATATGTCATATAGGTCTATAAACTGCATGTCCCAATCCCCTGTTCCTGCTGTGAAAACAGATGAGCCATTCCTTCTTCTCTATTAAAAAAATTGCTTAAACTTACAACCCAACCCAGGAGGAGCAGGCAGGTGGCTACCAGCAAAGGTTGGTTTGTTTGAGTCTCTTACTGCTTCAGTTGTGATACCTTTCACAGATGCAGAGCTTCCCGAAAGTAATAAATATGGAAAGAAAAGAACTGACTTCTTTCTTCATATCCAAATCAGTTGCTGCTATTAGATATTTACCTTCTTGTATCACCATTCAAACATCTTAAGAAATGAAGACTACCGCAATGCAAAACATTTATTACAGTAAATAAGTAAAATTTAACAGACTAGTCTGTCAAGTCTATCATGCTGAGTATTCAATCTTATCCTGAGTATTCTAGAAAAGCAAAAATCAACAGTCTATTTTCTTGCCAACTTACGTATTTCTTCTGAAATCTTTCATTAATGTTGAATGTTCAGGCATCTTTTTTATGTCTTCCCAATCTTTATCTGTGAAACACATTGATACAATTTTATATTGTCTACGTTCCTATTATCAAGAACTTTAATAAAGGTGACTTCACTTCTCATTACATGTCCTACATTTTAACCTCCCTGAAAGCACAGACTTTGAATGAATGGTGAGCTGCAGTAAACATCTTTAACTGTAAATGCATTCTCCATACTTTGTGTTCTCTCATTTTTTTAAACTTTTAAAATGTCTATTTTCTCTATGTTTTACTATGTTATCTCAGTTTCTATACTAAGATACCAACAAGTTATAAACAAATATTTCCATTATTAATTAGTTCTATTTTTATCTGTAAAACCACTTTCGTCCCACCTTGTCTTGGTTAATCCAGCAACCAATCTTTTCAACAATAAATGCACTATCTTCCCCCTCAGCAGCTGTAAGCTGTCCTTTTTATATGGCCCTCCTTATACTCCCCTTATTAAATATGCTGCCTTATGTGGTAATCAAGGTAAGCAGTTACAGCTGTCTGAAACACAGAGTAGGATGTACGAGCATATGAACAAGTCAGCTAGTACCTGGGCTAGTTTCAATAATAGTAACAAAAGCAACCTCAGCTACCAGACCCATCAGGTGGAAACGTCTTGGTCACTTTTGCTGGCATTAGAATTATTCAAACACCACACACGGTTTGAGAAGCCTGCTGTCCCCATTAGGGGGCGTCACTGAGAGTCCACAGGTGCCCACATTCTACCAGGTAGCTTCATGGCACCTCATCTTTTAAATGACCTCCAGAGGTTAGCTTCTCTCTCAAGTGGCTTATAAAAATATCTGCTATCTAGCCTCCAGATACCACATATTGTAAACGAAATATATACGTCTAAATGGAATTTTCTCCTTGACTACTTTCTTGTTCCAATTTCTTTATTCCTGTCAATTTCTCAAGTAGAAATCCTGAGATAATCTTTTATTTTTTTCTTCCAATTACAGGCTTACTCTAAAAAATTATACCATTATCCTTTCTTCTCCATCCAAAACACTTTACACGTGGAGTACTGCTGCAGGTAAGAGCTGGTTTCCTGACTTCAGTTACCCCTCTTAAATTTTTACATACCCCTGCCATAAAAACCTTTCTAAAGTAGAACACAAACCACAGCACTAGTTCTCAAGAACTTATCATAGATTTTCCTTCTTTAGCACATCAAATCTAAATTTTATTGCCTGGTTCTCAGATCCCCTATAAGTGGATCCCAACTGTGGAACCACACCCTAAGAACCATTTCAGAACCATCTCCTGTGGAGGCCACCCCTCCTCCAAGCCCCTGTAAGTCAGGCTCCTTCCTTGGGGGACCCCTGAAATGATGAGTGCATTCAGAAGTGGGAAGAAAAGGCCATTCTTCTCCATCTACTCAAACCACTCCTATTCTTTCAACATTCTGCTTAGAGCAGCTCAGTGTCAACTCCGAGAGGGCAAGAATCATGTCTGTTATATCAACAATATTTTACACTTAACACAGTGCCTGAAACATGGCAGGTGCTCAATAAATATTTAGTGGATAAATGAAACTCCCAACTCAACAAAGCAATCTTTGTAGAAATGTTGATCAATTTTGGACAAAGGTAGGTACTTTGCACTTACTGATAATTAAAGGGAATGTGGAATTATAACTCCCAGATATTTCTGTATTAGTTTTGAGCCACTGACCTGAGAAAAATTCCTAATAAGAAACAGCTTATTGTTTCTTACTGTTATTTCAATAAGTTAGATATTTAAATTAATATATTTATTAATAATAAACTTATTATTATTGCAATAAGTACTTGACTAGCCAAAACTATGCAGGCATTTCAAAAGGAGAGCGATGGACTTCTGTTCTGTGGCACAAGGACTGGGCTGGGGCTGGAGCTCTAAAGCACGTGACGAGACGCCCCAACAACCGCCTCTCAGTGGCAGTCAGAGCAGGCCCGCTCGCTGTGCAGGGCTGGGCCTTCACTCACATCCTGCCTGTTCTAACTGGAAAGAATGTTCTTACTGACAAGGGTTATAAAGCAAAAAATGCTATGATTCAATACGAGTTTCAAGTAGAAAGTCTTCAAAATCTGCATTCAAATACCAAACAATGACACTGTTATTAAGTGCTGTCAGACAAAAAGACATGCTCCTGAATTCTATTCAGTTGCCAATGGTGAGAACTAAAGGCACTTTTTAAACGCAGATATTGCAAATATTTTATCATTTTAAATATTAAACAAAACAAAACCAAAAACTGAAATGAAACAAAAATACACTCCTCAAATTCAAGAAACCCATAAATATTTTTATGCTAATATGTGAACTCTACATATTTTGCTATTTCTATGGGTCTTTGATTGATGCAAGTCATAAATATAGAGAATTGAGTAAGAGTAGCTTTCATCAGCTAAAAATACACATCCTTTCAATGTAGACATCTAAGTTCAAACAACAGTGGTTTAAAAATAAAAACAAAAATATAATGTGTACCTGCAGGAAATCCCATTACATTGAATATTCTGTCCAGCTGGTCATGGTGATAAGGATTACTAGTTTTGATGTCCTCTTGTCGACAGTGAAATATTGGTTCTGACGTTAGTAGTTCTGCAAATATACACCCTATAGCCCAAATATCTTTAAAAAAAAAAAAAAGAAAGAAAAAGAAAAGAAAAAAAAAAGAAAGGAAAAAAGAAAAAGAAAGGAGGAAAATAAAGTGGTTCTTTCCAAAAGAAAATGCATGTTTATCTTGGCAGGGAGTGTTTTTTCATTCTTTTTCTCCCCTAATAAGTCATATTAAATCCTAAGCAATTATAAATATAAAAAATATTGTTTGTAAGTATATATTCCCACCCCATCCACCCGTTTTTCATTCCTTGTTATACCTCCATCCCACCCAGTGGTTTCAGTCCAAGTTCAATCAAACTTATATTACCTAAAATTTTTGGTGAGTTTAAGTGCTTCAAACGTTACCTTATCTGTGAAATACATACAAAGCTGCACACGGAGCATAGGAACCATAAATAAATAAAACTAAACAAACAAACAAAAAAACAAACAGAAAACTCAAACAGCCTTGGAAACTGGGCATACTTGCTGAATACAATCAGCACCATTTTTTGAGGTAAAAAATATTATTTTTTATCTAGTTTATGGACTGATTAGCTTGTAAAGTTAAATAATTATCCTCCTGTGTTAGAACTAGTTAGCAAGGTGCTGTTCCAACAGGAAAAAGACAACGCCTGGCCTCAAATATTCTAACAAAATAGCATTTCTCCTGGAAGGACTTTTCGTTCAAAGGGTTTCTTCATGCTATAGCAGTGTCAGACTTTGCAAGTTTAAGTGTTTAAAAGATAAGAAAATATGGGGCAAAATACTACCTTTCAATAGGCAGAGGCTATAACTTCATAAGAATTATTTAAAAGCCAGGCAAAGGGATTCGTCTGTATACAACAAATTTCCTTCACTTACTTTAAGATACAGGCTAACTTTCATTCATATTAAATTCCTACTAATAGAACTATTAGTAGAGGAAAGATAAATGTGCCAATTTATAATCTGAAGTTGCAGATACTCCATTTCTACCCTTAACAAATCCCTAAACCAGCAATGGCAACTTCCTTACACTCAGGACAGTGCTGTGCACACAGCAGACAGTAAACAGTGTCTCACTGATCTAACTAATACCTGTGGCAAACATAAAAACTATGTGAAGTGAGAGTCACTCAGCTGTGTCCGACTCTTCGTGACTCCATGGACTTTACAGTCCTTGGACTTCTCCAGGCCAGAATCCTGGAGTGGGTAGCCTTTCCCTTCTCCAGGGGATGGTCCCAACCCAGGGATCAAATCCAGGTCTCCCACATTGCAGGCGGATTCTTTACCAGCTGAAGCACAAAGGAAGCCCTAAATAACTATAGGAGGACAGTTAAAACCACTATTAAAGCTGATTATTCAGACCTATTAATAATGGTCACTTAAATAGAAAGTGAGGGAAAAAAATGTTAATAAATAAATAACTGGAAATTTCTAAAATCTAAAACTGGAATATACATATTTCATCTAAAATTACCACACTTGTATTTCAAAATAATTAGTTAAACCTCTATTTACTTTAAGATTACAAGCAAGACTATAAGCAAGTGATTTCAAAAATGACAGTCTGCTCATCAGTTTTCTCCCCCATCAGAGAACCAAATCAGGCCAACACCACTTCATGAAAAAGTCTCCTCAAGAAATATAAGCCAGGATATCTTCTTTGTCAGAAAGTAAACGGGAAAGTTAATTATTTTGTGATTATTCTTTTTATGTGGGAACCCCACAGAAAGGTGACCTTTGATCGTCTCGATCCAAAGGAAGAAAGTAGGCAAGCTACTAAGTGGGGTCACCAAGATGGCCTGTGGGGCAGTGTGCATCTTTAAAACCCTACTCATGGCATCCAAGAGACACTGTTACCAACTCAGCCTGGTAATGAAAAACTCCAACAAAGAAAATAAAACACGCAAAGGAAGATGAATAGTAAGTAAACAGTTTAACTACCCTCACTCGACATTGCTTTAAAAGAAAAGTCAAGAAAGTAGAAAAAATACTGAAACTTGTTTAACTTTACCCTATATAACTTCTCTCTTCATGTCTTTTCTATTATCTTTCACCTGTTATCAATTTCACCATTGTTCCCTCCTTCAAATCCTGACCCAGACAATAATTATGAATTTGAGTTCGCTGATCAGGCTGTTACTTCAGATAAATTTCTGAATCTTTGTCAACAAGTCTCTCCTACCTTGCCTATTTTTTTCAGATTTTGCTGAATTCATAAGAAAGTCCCTTCCTGCTCACCTGTCAAATTTCTTCTAGAAAAACTTTTCAAATTAAAAACACACAAACCCCATCTACTTCTCAAACTCTGTAATGCTCGTGTGTAGCTATGGAGCTAACCGGGCAAAGTAGACACCAACTGGCAGGCTACGCAGACCCAAATGGGGGGAGGGGGGATATATTAAATTTGTTTTAATCAGTAATTATAAGCCTCTACCTTAATGCAAGAGTAAATTCTCATTCTCCTCGTTTCACTCAAGTTTATACTTTAGAAAAACTTTTAAGACTGCCCTAGTAACAGTTAATTAAAGAGCTGATTCCCTTTCTGCACCCTTCTCCACAAAGTCAATCAAACAAAACCCTCAACACTCAAAACTGAGTTAAACTTTGTCCCCATGAGTAATGAGCCTATCTCCGTTGACTAATCTATCATCTTCTCTCGGGCTGAATGACTCGGCTTGCAGACTCCTAGAGGGGAGTGAGTGACCACAGCACTAAGACCGATGTGCAGCAAGGCTGGGAACAGGGGGGCTCATGTGCTCAGATTTCCCCCACGCTCTCCTGATGCCTGTCAGTACCTTAGTCTTAACACGACCCACCCAACTCCACTGGCAGGTTTAAGCCTTCTCAGTGATGTCACTAAAATGAACATATTCAGCTAATAATATGTAAGTTCAACCACAAAGGTTCCTCTATCTGCTTCAGGAAGTCCAAGTGCTAGGAAAGTGCATTGACAGTGGTCTGGAGGCCTAGCTGAGAACCTCACTGCACCCTTAGCCTACCCACCTGGGGAGCAGGAGGAACGTAATGGTGCAGGAGAGACTAGAAGCAAGGTAGAAGCTTCATTTTTCACTTGTAGATTCTAGTGGATTACTAGATTCACAGTGGATTCACTGTGGATTTTATTCTTAAAAATGTATATAAAAGTGTATGATTTCTGTCTCTCAAATGAAAAAGCAATCTGTAAGATCCTATATCATTACTTTTTTGATCCAATTTTTTTTTAATGTAGTTGTTATCACTTTAGGTTTTTTTTATTATTACTAAAATTTATTTATTTTTTTTATTAAAGGATAATTGCTTTACAGAATTTTGTTGTTTTCTGTCAAACCTCACTGGAAGAAAGCATTCTCCATAACTCCTCTGGGCCAGGCCAGGCATGCTCATGGGGACTGGCACAGACCTTGGTATCAGTTACCTGCCCCCACGTTAGTCTGCTGTGCTCTTTCTACCCCAGAAGGCAGTGGAGTCTATCCAAGGGCACAGAACGTTTAGAGTTAAAGGAACCTAAGAGGTGATTTAGGCTAAATCCTTGTCTTCAGAAAACGAGGCTGTGAAGGACACATCGTCCCCAGAGTGGCAGAGCTAAGGCAACAAGTCAGAGGGCTAAGCTTCTGCTGTTCAAAGATGGCAACATATTTTCCACACATATTCATTCTGTTTCTCAAATGGATGGAGATCCCTTAAGAGTAAATGACATAATTTACATTCATTTTGGTTTCTCTTAAGTTTTAAAAAGCCTAATAGTTATCCAATAACTTTTGATGTTAATGAGGAGGAAAGCCTTTTACTACCCAAATTATGCACCCATCTGAACAAGGGAATCTAATAGCTGGTGAGCCCAGCTTTGTAATGAACAGCCCTGACCTAGAACTGCTAAACTGCTCTGGAGGGTAACAGCTTGTTCAGATCTCAATGCTTACACTGAAAAATGGGTTTCTTAAGAATATAGATAAAGATAAATGATGAGCCAGAGTCACAAACCTATGTGACAGTTTATTTTTTCCTCAATTTATATCAATTCAGTCTCAAAAAAAAAAAATTCAGCCTCAAGTTTTCCATTAATAGTAGCTACAAGTTGATAATTACTTTCTTATTTGTCTAGTCTTTAAATATGTCTTACCAAAAGTAGCACTGTTTTTAAATATTCATTTTCTAGGTGGAAAAAAAAGCTACGTATATTAGTTTACATGCTTAAGCATTTAGAATACACTTGTAAAAAAGATAGCCAAATGTATGCTTAGGTAGTAATACATATTGAAAAACAGGACTAGCTTCAGTAATCTTTCCTTTTCCTTCTAATTGACTTTTCAAAAAAATAAAATATTTTATTTTGGAATAATTTTAGATTTGCAGAAAGACTGCAATAATAGCACAGAAAAGTCCCATATCTAATCATCTACCTTTATTTTTCTATATAGTAAAATGTGATCTCAAGGCAGATATAAGGATTAGTGAACATAAAAGGTTTTAAGAAAAAAGACACATTGACTTCAAGATTGCTTTGAGGGAAAGAGCACAACCACCGCTCCTTTCCCCTCTGAATACACGCTGAAGTGACAGCAAAGCCCAGGAACACAGAGCATGCAGAGAGACCATCAGGGATCCCTTGGCAAGGAACCGCTTCTCACCCGGGGCCATGCAGGCAACGGCCTCCAGCAGTGACAGCTGGGCACAGCCCACCCAGTTAGGGGTTTTCAGACACTGCATACAACTACCAGGATGGGGAAGGCAGATGGTGTGACCAAGGAAGTTCTCCCTCAAGAGGGAGAATTGTGACTAAGACCTGGATGAAGACACATGTGCAGACCTGACTGAGCAGACATACAAATAAAAACATTTCTGGAAACAGTTCAGACAAGGCCCCAGTCCACAGTATTATTGTTGGATGGGAAGCAGATGTGTCCTGCACAACTCAGGGAAGATTCTGTACTTGGAAATGTCAAATACAAAGACTATATTTTGAACTGTGGACCACCACCCACCCCGCTTCCCAATGCAGTGAGACTACCAGGCTAGACTGGGCTGAAGGTTGGAGGATTTTTCCCTTATAAAGAAGCTGAAAGTCCTCAGAGCAAAGACTCCCACGTGCTGGCATTCAGGGTTCCCCACCAATGGCCGCTCTCGGCTGGATCACTCTAAGTAAAGCCACCAGCCTCGGCGCTCTCTGATCCACGCACACTAGGGCCCCAAGTGGCGCTCTGCAACCTGAGCCTCAAATGCAAGAGATATCAAGGGTCAACTAACCGTTGAGGAATATTAACCACATGAAAGGAAGACTAAGACAAATCAATGAAGAGAGTGACTACAAAGAAAACACAGAGAAGAAGAAAGGTAGAAAAACACGAGCAGAAAAGCGGTATAAAGGATACCAGTTCAAGAAATCCGACATCTGCCTACACTCAGCTTTGGAAAGAGAGAAGTAAAACACAGAAGAGAAAATCAAGTCTACTTCAAGAGAATTTTCCACCGACACGGGATATAAACTTTGAACTGAATGGCCTGTAGGTGGTCAGCAAATCAGTGTGAAACACAAGGATGAGAAACCCTCCATTTTTCAGGAAACACAAAACCCCACAGAATCCACCATCACATGAGACCTTCCATTAGCAAGACTGATGCCAGAGCACAGTTGAGCAGCCTCACCAAACTCTGAGAGAAAATCACTTTGAACCTGTAACTTTAGTCCCTGCCAAACTGTAAAGTATGACAAACGCTTTATTTTCAGAAATACAGAACTAGAAAATTTACCTCTAAGACAGGTTACTTGAGAATATTCCGCAGCAAAGTAAGGGATGAAATAATGGAACCCAGAAAGAAACAGATCCAACCCAGACGAACAAAAAAAGGAAAATGCAAGATGAAAATCAATCCAAAATAGAGCAAAGTATACAAGAGTTGGGGATGAGTTATTCAATAAAATAAAAATGGGTTTAATACCATTCTGGAGGACACAGAACAAGCAAGCAATAAAGGCATACAAAAACAGGAAAAAAGTAAAGACAAAATATGTAAGAAAAAACTACTTGATGATAAAATTCTACCAAATAAAATGAAGCAGAATAAAGATGTCACAAAAGGATTGTGATATAGCTGTGAAAAAAGGACTGTGGTAGCTGACTATCAAGTCCATTACAATATGTAGTTAAGTATAAACAACAGTGGGCATTTTGGCTCGCAAACAGAAAATAAATGCTGTAAACATCAACAAAGTGGTAACAATAATGATGATGATAATGACTGATATTATTAAGAGAGCTTATAAATTGAGAGGCTGGTGGGGGAACAAGTAGAAGAGCACTCATTTCCTAATTCTTCATACAGGGAGATAATCAATACTAATAAAAACTGAAAAGTGAATGACCATGTTCTCAGCCCCTACTTATTTTCATAATCTTCTTATCCCTAATTTTAAGGGAAATCTTTTAGAAGCTAGTATTTCTTTAGGCAAAAGAAATATTTGTCTGAAGTTCAATGATTCAGAAATTTCATTGTGTTTATTTTTCTTTTTCACCTAAACTTAAAATAGATAGTTTTTACTCAGAATTCATAGTATGGGCCCATATATTTAAAAATCTTTTTAGCATCTGTTTATTTATCAGAAATAGATGTCTGGAATGGTATACCCCTAATGCCAACGATGGTATTTCTAGACAGTAGAATTTTATGTTAGTTTTTGCTCTTACTTATATAATTTTCTGTATCACTTGACCTAAAAAACAGACATATGTATATTTCACAACAATAAGGCCACTTTAAAAATGTCATGGAACTTTAATTAGTTCTACTCACCAATAGCTTTGGTATAATGTCTTGCTCCAAGAAGTAATTCTGGGGCTCGGTACCAGAATGTAACTACTACTGGATCCAAATCTGCTAAAGGCTTCAAAGGTGAATTAAATAATCGGGCAAAGCCCATATCAGCTGTAAAAAAAAAAAAAATAATAGTAACAACAACAATGCTAAGTAAATTGATTTTTACAAATATAATTGATGACTCTAATTTACTATTATTATTTGGTAAGCTATGAAAAACGTGAATTCTGCGGGGAGAAAAACCAACAAAATATCTCACCCCTTTCAGAAGTCTAAATATAAGCCAAGGTTGACATCTTCATTCATTGCAAACTACTGCCACTGGGTTACAGACACACTCTGCTGCCTGAGGTCCAGGGTGACCCTACTCCTCCGGGCAGATTTATTTCCATCTGTCTTACCACCAGGGGGACAGGGCTGTGCAGCCAGCCACATGTTCATTCTTTTTACTGGTCACAAGTACCAGGGAACTAGATCAGTTAGGGTGAGGCTTCCCGTTATCTGCATCAGTAAGCATGCTCACTGGTATAAGCTGATGTACGGTATGACAATACCACTATTTCCCCCCATTTATTTGGGCTGAGTTTTTTCTTTAATTTTAAAGAATTGTGTTTGTTTTTTTTAAGTTGGAAAAGATTTTAAAGATCATATAATTCAATCACCTCCTTTTTCAAATGAGGAAACTGAGGGCAGAAGAAACTGATTTGACAAATGTCAACAACTCATATCTCAGAGCTGGAGCTGTGCTGAGATACAGTTCACAGCATTTTGCACAGTTTACTATGTAGTGCAGTTATTCAGGCAAAGCTGTTTGTCCTAACGAACCATGATCTTACAGATAAAAACATTTTTGTCTCGCTATCCCTTGGAACATCAAGTACAGTGTCATTACACAGAGCTGCCAAATACACATTGAATGAACAACCACTAGTCATACCACCTATTCAAAAATTCAAGATTCATCCACCATTTGTTTGATTTTGCTCTAATACACATTTTTAATGAAGCAGGCCTTAAGTGATCTATTTATAGAGGTTAAAAAAACCAACACAGAAATGTGGCAAAGAACTAAAACCATGAGTCGGATTACTAAACACTGATTTACAGAAGAATGTATCTTAAGTGTGACTACTTTAGGCTATTGATATCCGCCAAGCCTGTCAACATCATATATGTGACACAGAAATAATTCCAAACAAAATTATTTTTAATATATAAATTTTCCCCAAGTCTTACAGTAGCTAACACATCTGTAAATACTGTCTGGCTGGGTCTTTTAGACTGTGCATGATTTGAACTTACATTTGAATTTGATGCCACCACGCTGGTTGGATGAAATCTGCTAAATGCACACCTAAGAACCTAACAGGTGTCTGACGCTACGTAAGGACCGACAGGGCCTGGTTCTTAAAGCAAGCCAATTGACTAGGAGCATTCTGAGATGCATCAAATGTTTGTCAAGAATTTTGCAGTTTGTATCAAGGGTATTTTCAGTCTAATTAGAAGGAGAAAATGGGACTGAAGGATTTAAAGGGGAGGGTAGAAAGAAGGGTTGGGAACACCTGGGTTTTTCTTTGCTGGTGAAATGGTACAAATCAGCTGACAATCCCAATTTATACTAAATTTGGCAATCAGAAATTCCTATTTATTTTGTTATATACTCCCATAACCCTGCTGCTTTAAAATTAAGATAATTTGGTTACTACATTTCTTCTATCCACACACAAACTAAATAAATGTCACAAACACAACTTGCAAATGACAATGAAAAAATAGTTAGGATAAATAAATCTAGCTCTATCCTTATAGGTTATCAGACCAGAAATGGGTAAAATTTTGCACTGATACATAAGAAAACAGAGCTATTAGAAAACATGCAGAGGTACAGAAAGCTCGTTAATTCTTTTCCCTTCAGGCAAAGGCTCGTTAGAACCTACCCAGCCTCAGTGGTATTCTCAGTTTGTAATCCCTGACCTAGATGAGGCTAACAGAAGGATATGTTCGGATCGACCTGGCTCAGGGAAACAGAACGGATGGTATGATTAGTAGTTTGCTGTACGCCCTTAGGACTAAAGGCGAGGTTGGCTTCTAACAGGGATAGAAGCCACTCACCTCTACAGGCTATTTTTAATGAAGGCAAAAAATTTCTAAGAAACTCACACGGCTTATTTTATAATTAGAACACTTCAGTCTCTAAAGATTGTCTGACACCTTTCGAGAGTGTGAAACATTTTTCACTTTTAATGTATACTCTTTAGAAATGGCTTCGATCACATGGAACTATATGAATAAATGCATATTATTACAGCAAAAATTAGAAGTGATAAAGCTGCCTGCAAAAGTTTTAAAAGAGTGCTACGCTGTGACTTATCAAAGATATAACATACCAATTTTTACTCTTCCTCGCTCAGGACCTTCACCCATAACTAAAATATTAGCAGGTTTCTGTGGAAACAAAATAGTGTTTTTTTTCAGTAGACAGTAGTGGTTTCTTTTAAATAGACAATATGCCAATATAACATAAATCCACCTTTAAAAAAACCACATTTACTCAAAAATTAAAATCAAACACAGGAAGTCACCAAAGAAGCTTTATGTATGTGTACGTGTGTGTGTGTGTGTGTGTATGCCAAGTAATATGCAACTTCATGAAGGCCAAATATGGTAGTGCTTTCTCCAGGCAGAGCGAGGGCTTTTCTTGGCGCTGTTATCAGTCTGCTTTCACTACTGTGGAACATCTGGCAGAAAGTTACAATGCTCTGCTTCCTTCTAACTCTTTCAATTATATAAAACGCCCTGCAACTTTAAGGGGAAATGATCTTCAAATATAATACTGTATTATTAAAATAGCAAGTTAATTACAGGGAAGGGGCCACCTGATAGCTTTTTTTTTTTTGGAAACCATACAGTATATATCTATGTTTCAAAAAAATTATAGAGAAATCAATGTAAGAGCCTTTTCTAAATGAGTTAGCAGAGTAGTAGAAATTTTCCATGACCTGAACAGTTCTCATTTTTAAATAAAAAAGGAAACTAACATATTAAAATGAGATTTTACAAACATAATACTTCAAACAGTTTTAAAATGTCTAAAAACAGCAAGATTAACTGTCATCTAAACTCTGTTATGGTGGTATCACCACACTAACATGCAATGTAAGGGCTGCCCCTCTTGAGGAAAAAGGGAGAAGGGAAGGAAGGCAGAGGAGGAGGGAAGGCGGCAGCCACAGCCTCTCTCAGGCCGCCATCCTGCTGTCCGCCTGACCTGACTGCAGTTTTACCAGTCTGTCAAATAAGAGCGAAACCTGAGCTCAATGCCTTTCAAACGCGGATCAAAGCAATCGTGAAGATCAAATTAAAGATCTTACTGAAGGCTGTGTACAGTGGGAACCAGGTCACAGGCTCCCCTGACCATATTTAACAACAGCCTCTATGCTATTACTGACAAAATGTGACTTCCAGGATACTACTCTACCGACCACCAAAGATCAAAATTATTTCTTTATCCTCAGCGAAAAGACACTGCTAAAAAGGCAGTGTACACATTTCAAAGGTTGAAAATTCTGCAGCTTTTCAGGTGAGGAAACACGGCACCAGAGAGAGTGACTGGCCTGCCCTGAGTGCGACGGATGAGCTGGGGCGGCAGCAAGGATCCAGCCTGTCCCTGAGCAGAGCCGCCCCTTCCCAACATGCCCTGCTGAGAGTGATTTATACGGCCCGCTTAAAACGGATGTGTATCACCATAGTCATGATCATTATGTTCTGCTCAAGAAAACGTTTCCAGAACCTCTCTCATCACACCCGCTCCTGCCTCGAGACAGCAGGGCAAAGCACAAGGAAGTGCAGGGCTGATAACACTCCCCATGAGCCGCGTGGAGCTGCCAACCACAAACAGCACTGCCCATCGGTGAGACCAGATGAGGCTCTGCTCCAGGGCAAACCAGGGCTCAGGGAGCTTGTGAAATGTGACGGCAGTGGTGGGCCCTCCCAGAGGCACAGGCAGCCTGTCACCTGACCGGGGGTGGGGCTCAAGAGGGGACCTGAAGTCTGGGCTAGAACTCTCTCCTCATGGGCCACTTCGTGAACCCCATTTTGATTCTCCTCTCATCAACTCTGCCTTCTCTACCATCGCCAGGGCTCACTTCCTAAGAGACAACGCTGATCACGTCTCCCCCTTGCTTAAAATCTTCCACAGTAACAAGGGAAAGCTATTAGGAAAACAGTGGAACAGAAAATGATAGACACACTGTGATTACAACTGGGTTAAAAAAAAAAGTGCCATGAGTAAGGACTAGAACAAAAAAGGTTAGTGACAGGTAGGGATGAACTTTTTCACAAGTTTCTTTGAGCCCTTTTCTTAAGGTTTAATTACTTAAATACTTCCCCTTTCATGGCTCCCCCCCAACCTGTGCTGTGAATAGGTAGAAGTCTTCATGGTGGGATGCCAGGCGCCTGGAAGCTCGGCTCCAGGACCCCTCCCCCACCCCAGGGCACGGCCCTGCCACAAGTGTGCTGCATGACAGTCCTGTTCTGTGACTAGTCAGACCTTGTTCACAACTACGTCAGTGCTGGCCCTGTATTTCTGCCACAACAACTTTCCTTTCCTCTGCGTTACTTGGCAACATCTGCTTCTCAACTCGCCTTTTAAAGATATAATATGCGAATACACCCTGATTATAAACAGGCCACATACAGTTAAAAGATTCTAAAGAGTCAGAGACTCTTGCCACCACCCATCACTCCTCCACCGCATCCCAAACACCACTCCCTCCTCCAGAGTTACCAGCTGATTATCTGGCTTGCTGTGAAGGATTCTGCTAGCACTCAAGTGCTCCTCAAAGATTACTTCCGTTTCTGACAAAAGGCACAAGCACAAAGGGGCATTTCTTTCTTCCTTCTATTCTAGATAGAGTGGAAAAACTCCCTCTTTTGATTTCTTACTCATTCAGCAGCTGGGCTCAGATCTGAGAAGCCCTGGGGTGGGTGGTACTGGTCAGCCTGCTACTAGGCAAAGGGGGGAAGAAAAACCCTCTCTTGGTCTTCATTTTATTATACACTCAATGGACTGGCCATGTCCCAAGCAGCTTGGTTCTGAGCCTTGATTGGGAACAGTTTCTCCGTCAAAGTCTTGCCTGGTATTAGGATTTGGGGCCAAAGCTCCAGCTAATAATTAAGAACTTTTTCTACGAGACAACTCATTGCCTATTGCAGGACCTGAAGTAGATCTCAGGGCTGAGGCGCTAAGCAGACTTAAATCAGTGGATTTAAGTTCAGCTGTGGCATGCTATGTAATCAGAAACAAAAGAGAACAGTGTTAAGGGCTGTTTTAATAACACTATTTATAAGCAGTGAGTCGTTCCCCATGGGATCTCCCATGCTGCCATTCCACAGGCCCCAGAGAGTGACAGTCTGATTTAGGAGACAAATTCCACACTACATTTCTTTTGAGAATGTAACCTAATGGAAAGTTCAAGAGAAAATGGCAGAAAAGCCACAGAGATATGAATACTCTTGTATTTTTGATCAGTATTAAGGAAGATTTCAAAAGACTTGATTTTTGTTTTAGTATTTAATGCCACACCGAGACAATATTATTTCCTCCAAATGCCTAATTTCTTTCATCTTTGTCTATCAGTGGGAGAATCTGGTAGCCCTAGGGCCAAACCATTCAAGTCGCTGATGATAAAACACAATAACAATCATGACTTTAGTAAATTGCAATCAAACATAATCATCTTAAAAGAATATACAGAACTTTGCTGATGACATTTTGATGAGGCACATTCCCCATTAAACTATTTGCTGCTACATACAGCAAAGGTCCAGTGTGACTTAAAAGTATTATAGTATCATGACAACATCTTCAAGAATAGTTATCTTACAGAAGTGACTACAGGATACTTGTATTGCCTGCTGAACAATGAAACAGATGGATGAAATACTTTTCGAAGTCTACTTATTTGATTATTTGAAACTATGCCTTGAAACAAGCCTTTCTCTTGTTTCCTTTCTCCCAGAAAAAAAACTAATTTTGTATTAGGTTGGTATGAAAAAACTTAAACTTTTTGGCCAACTGAAATTAAAAGAGTGTGCCCGTTTTACAGTCTCACGGCTTTTCTTCTTGTTTTATGTTGTTGTGCTCCAAAAAAGTCCCCACTGCCATTTCCTAAAAAAAAATGTCTGTGTTACAGAGATAACCATTCCTGGTGAGACTTTCTGCTCTCCAGACTCTGTCACACTGGGCAACATCACACTGACGACTCTGGCAAACAGCAGAGATGGTAAACTGGTTTCATTTAAGGGCCCAACTCTGGAAGAAAACTAAGGGCTGCCGGGAACTGCATCGTGAGAAAGACAGGACCTGGGCTAGTCAGGAAACTGCCACTATCAATTAGAGGTATCTCACACAGATACAGAACTGCACAACGCTGGCATCTCTGTCAAGTTAACTGCAAAAACTTTTTATTCTAGGGATGAAGCCAGGGTCTTCATATGTTCACTGACCTTATCAAGGCAAAATGGAGACTCTGAGTCAGTAAGAAAAGCTGATTTTTAACGGATCTATGAAAAGAAGACAGCGATGCACAAGTAACTGTCAAGTGCTGCTGACCAAGATCTGTTTGGAACTTACACACTGTAAACACAAGCTGGTGGTGCACTTTCTGGACACCTGACAACTTTCAGCTTGGCTGTTAATTACTGTGTGCCATAATACACACTGATCTGTACTTCAAATGACACTTTTCAATTGATGATGTCTACCTGTTAAGAAAATACAATTCTGCTTTTACTTCTAGTTTTGTGTTCTGAGAGATTAATGCAGAATCTGTATCTTTATGAATACTTATTATGTATATCTTTATCTTACACTCACACTGAATTTTTCTAGACATACATTTTTATTGAATGTTTATTTATATATTTTTTTTTATTTCTAGGCTGTGCTGTGCACATTGCGGGATCTTAGTTCCCCAACCAGATGTTGAATCTGGGCCCTAGGCAGTGGAAGTGCAAAGTTCTAAGAACTGGATCACCAGGGATTCCTAGGTAATGCATATTTTAAAATATATTCTTTTATATGTCCATAAATGCCAAGCAATTCTACTGTATCACATTGCTTCATTCTATAGTTTTTGCTTATTCTTTATTTAAACAATTTGTCACAATCTGATTTAAAGTATACCAAGGTACATAATTATATATTCCTAATTCCTTCTATACAATTGCCAAATTGAACAAACCATAAGTTTTTTGGTGTATATTCATTATTTCAAGCATCCTGCTATTATAAAATGTGTTTCAATCTTTTGAAATAAAACATACTTTTTTTGCCACACCCCGTGGCATGCGGGATCTTAGTTCCCTGATCAGGGATCAAACCTGTATCCCCTGTGCTGGAAGGCAGGGTCTTAATCTCTGGACCACCAGGGAAGCCCCTTGAAATA